GACTATGAATACATGAATTCAAATGCAGCCGTCCACATAGCCAAAATTCGACAACGCTCACGCCAACACAAAGCAAAAAGATGGCCAACTCTCAACTTTTCGCGTGCGTCGCTCGTCAGCTGTTGCGAATAAATAAAATTATGTGAAATATTTTTCCTTTTTAATCAAGTGCGGGCAAGAAATATCGTTTTTAATGCAATTATTGATAAGAAATATTAATTTATCTGTCGTTAGTATGTTAATTTAGTGGCCCAAGGATTCGCTGCCAAGCGTTCATTGTAGCAAGCATACTTTTAACGTGCGTTCTGTCAAACCAACGCCAACGCCAAAGCCAACGCGAAAGTTCTATGTGGACCGGCCTTAACTCACTTCGCTGTGGCGGCGCCGTTATATACCTGTGCTCGTACTTCTGGCAACTCTAGAACGTTCTGAAGTTTATCGCTCATTCTCTTTCTCTCGCTGTTCGCAGTGTACATCCAACTTAACGTTTCTCTTTGTGAAACATTCTACGTCATTCCTGGAACATTCTGCCTATTTCTCGTTGTTCGCTTCGCTTTGCCGCAGTATTCGTCACATGATTCAATAATACAAGGTTAGATGATTATTGACAGCTGCGGTTTGACACTCCCTTACAAAAGGTTGCATTTACGAAGGCCGAAGAAAGGGCAAGAATGCAATCCCTTGTTTCGAAAATGGTAGTAGAAAAGTACGCAAAGTAGGCAATTAGTAGTGAAGTTCCTTTCGTAAATTCTAATGTATTTGCAGGAAATCTGGCATTTTAAACGAAATGTTGAACGTAATATTGATATATCTACGTGAATTACGTAATTTATATGCTAAACTGCAAAATGACTCAAAATTAAAATAAGACTACTATGAGATTGATGTAAACGTCCATTGCTTATGTTTTCATCAGTTAAATATGCTTCATATGCATATACAAATAAACATATTGCACAAAAGCTTATACTTTTATTTCACACCAAAGCTACACTGTTTCCATGTAAATTTCCAAAAAAGCAACACGGTGCCACTGCTAAGGGAGCGGTGCGAGAGAGACAACTGTCAGTTTATCGAACCTTGTATTATTGAATCATGTATTCGTCACAATATTGTGCGGTAACCAGGGTGGGCAAAAACTCGGAGTTCGAGCGGGCGAGCGAGCAAACTCCTACTCAATGCCTCGCAGCATAGTTGCCAACTTTGTGCTTTAAGCACTAGATTTAGTGTTTTTTGAAAATTAAAACGCCAAATAAAATTATTTAGTGCCTAGTGCTTTTTTCTGAACTAAAATTACTTCCGAGATAGTTAAAACCTGAAATAATTTGAAATATTTAAAGCTGTGGCGGCACTGAATTTATAAGAATCTAAAAATTTAAATGAACTAAAATACAACCATGATTGATAAAAAGCTGAAGTTGCAAACCCACCTTATTAAATTCTATTCGCGTTGAAAATGCTAGTACGTAAGTAAGTTAAGTATTCCTTTTTTTCTCTTCTAATTGTTTGACCGGTTTTCTTTTTCATTACCACCTGAGTAAAACACATCGTTTCTTGGTGCTGAATCCAAATCTGGCCTCACAATTGCTCTGGCACTAGAATTTTGAGATATCCTAACCCCAAAGTGTGTTTACTGATAAAAAGAGCGAATCTCGACAGAAACGGCTTTAATGTTTTGAATTTATATATCGTTACCTTAATTAATTAATTAAGGTCTTAATCAACAAATTTTTTATTTTACAGGAGAAGCAAAAAACATTATAAAAAGAATATCAAAATTAGGCAGGACTTTTTAAAAAGTGGAAGTAACTCCGTTGTTTTTGGTACTAACATTTTGAAATTTGTATTGATGCTGTATTTTAGTAGCCGTCATCGATTCGCCAACAGTTAGCGAGTGGCGAAACGAACGAACTCAATGAGGTACAACCAAACTCGCTATCGTCCATCCGTGCTAGCTAACTTTGTTGTTGCTTTCACATGCAAAATTCTTCTTTAAGCGACCGGAACTCAAACATAGCGAGCGAGAAGTGGCGAATCGATGACGGCTACTATTGAAGTAAATGAGCGATATTTTTATTTATTTTATTTGGTAGGCTAGTTGTGCTCTTACAACAAAAACATAGTCCTTGGTTGAACACATTTTAATTTTTTTTAATAAAACATACCATTATAAGCAAATGAAAGTTACATTAATAAATTGACTCATTTACCCATTAGTCTTCAAATCGACTGAAATGTGTATTAAACCACCTCAACTTGTATGTATGTATGTATGTGTGCACAAGGAAATTTGTATAGTAAATATTTTGTCGTTATCTAAATTATTTGCGATCAAACAATTTTAACATATTTTTATTACGAGGAAAAAGCTTTTAAAAGAGCTTTTGCCATATAATAGTCGCTATAAATACAGCATATGGCGTTCACCTGAATATTATTAATATTAAAACAGTTCGTCGTCCATTGGAAATATACTTCTCTAGGAATAACTGTACTTACTTCGCTAAGGGATGATTTTCAATTCACTACTTTTTGCATCTATCGGGTGTCTTTCCGCATTTGTGGTTGCACAATCACTATCCCAATCGGATAGTTGCCTAAATAAACTGCCAATGCCGACTAAGTATGATCCTGAGGATTGCAATGGATACTTTGCACTTTTCAACGATCAATACATACAGGAATATTGCCCGCCAGGCGCTAAATATAGTGTGCCTTTGAGTTGTTGTGTAATCGGCCGTTGTCCACCATGTAATTGTTCAAGTATCGAGGAATCAACAACGGCTTCAGACTCCTGTGGCACAACTGGTTTTATGACTACAAGTGAAACAACACCAACAAGTGGCATTACAAAGAACAGCACAGAAACTACAACACCAGTATCTCTGCCCGAAACGACTCGCGAAACGACAGAAGAAATTTCTTGGACAACATCGGGAGAAACTATTGCTACAACGCCAGTTAGTGAGGCCACAATTACAGAACACACAGATGTTCCCCAGAAGACTACAGAAGAATCTACAATTACTACTGCTGGCGAAACAACTGCCGGCGATGCCCATATAACCACTGATATCACAGCTGAGACGGAAAGCACGCCGACAACCGAAGAGATATCCAGTGTAGAGTATTCTACAGCTTCGAATCCAACGGATGGGACAACTGATATCTCGCCGGACAATGATGCTTCAACCACGAATTATCCGACACAAACCACAGGAGAAGAATCTACATTTAGTACCGCCGCAGAGACGACGACCCAGACTGTTTCTGTTACTTATAATAACACAACGGAGATAGAAAACCCGACTTCAACGACAGAAGTATCCTACAACGCCTCAACCAGTGAAGAGCCTTCAACAACCTCGAACCCCACTGATTTCACAACTAATATTTCCGAGGGCAGCAAAGATACAACCACGGAGCAGACTACTTTTTCAACCGCTACTAATCCAACAGAGACAGAAACCACGCCATCGACGACGGAGATGACCACTGAAAATTCAACAACCACTACAACGTCATCATATGGAACTACGAAATCTACAACCACTGAGGGAACAACTCCATTGTTAACTTCAACTACGACCGAAACATCAAATGGAACAACCGCTATAACCCCACAAGCATGCGAAACTTTGCCAACCGGCACATTCCTGCCCGATCCCGATCACTGTAGTCGTTATTATGTTTGCACATTCGGTCGAGCCATATTGATGCATTGTCCACACCCACTTTGGTTCGATACCAGGTTAAATGTGTGCAACTATCCAGAAAATGTTACGTGTGCAGCAAATAAAGACTGATCCTTCGTAAATTTCATACACAGGCAGCCTTTTCACTATATGTATGTATATGCTTTTAAATTTTAGCAATGTGATAATTTAATATTAAATATAAACCACATAAAGAAAAATATATATGTATGTATGTACATTAGGCTGGGTCGATTTTGTATGGGGGAAAATAAAAGTCATTTGACCGCATTGTAATAGTAATATTACGATGTCTTAGGTCTCAGCCAATTGTTATTGGCCACGAAAGATTAATTTAAAACGTATCTTTAGCCCGCGCAATTGAATCAAAGTGTATGAATTTTGAAAATGAAACTTTGGCTTGTAATATCTATGGAATGCGTTATTGTTATAAACATGACGATATATCAAATTAAGGGCTATTAAGAAGAAACGCCCATTTTAAGTCCATTTTTGCAGTCTTGAAAACTGGTGCGGAATGGTTTCATTAGCCGCCGCAGAAGCACATTTTTCGCGTTTCTAAATTTGCCGTTATATGAAAGTAGGGGATGTGCAATTGGTGTTTAGATATACATAAATATTTTAGTTAATTCCATTATGTGAAAAAGTGTCTGTAAGTAAATGCAATAGTCTTTAACATATCCTGGGATATCCTTTTGCGGACTCTCCAATTGGACGATATTGCTTTGCATTCAGCTTGAACGAAAAAAGTCACTCGCTTGCACAGTTTTCTGTAATCCGGTTCTTTTATTTAAAGGTTATTTATACATACAATTGAAGAGACTTTTTTTAGAAAAAAACTGGAAATCCACTTAAGTTTTTCGATATAACTTTGGTAAATGTTACTCGATCGGTGCGTAATAATTAACAAATTGAAGGCGAGACTTAATGTTACTGATTTTTGATAATAATATGACTAAAATAGTTCAGATTATAAACAAATTATTTAAAATAAAAAAAATCTCGAACAAAATTTTTTATCATATTTTTATATTTGCAATTTTAATATTGTATGCATAAACATAAGTAAACCAATTTGTGTGTCTAGAAGTTGTGCCTGTTCAGTGTTTCCATACTAATTTGCATAAACAAAATTTTTCCGCGATGATAGAAAATAATGGCTATTCTATTAGAGCTACCGAAATTGTTCCTAAATTTGCAAAAAATCGCAAACTACAGCTAATATTAAAAAAGGATTAGAATATTTGGAACTAGCGATCTAAATGCACGCCAGCAATATTAATATTGTTCTTTACATCTTTTGACTATAGGCCAGTGCAATTATCAAGAGAACAATTAAAATTTTCTTGAAAATAGATGAGTTTGAGATTAACGATAAGATAAAGGGCTGCGCGAAATGATACTTGACTTTATCTTTTGCGTTAAAGGATTCATTATCTAATAACATGCACCAAAATTTTTGGCTGAACCCTGAATTTTTAACAAGAATTGGTCTTATTCGACTAGTGTGCTGTGGGTCACTTGGCGGTCGATGCGCGGGCTCTTACAATTAAAATGAAAGACTAATATTTTGCAGGCTTGTTGTTGACTTCATGATACAATATATTTTCACTATTACCAAGGGATTTGAGAAAAATTAGATTTTCGACCCGCCCTAATGTACATATGTATGTAAGTATAAAAATATATGCATTTTTTTTTAAATTCTGGTTACTTGTCCATATGAATCAGACAAATATGTACGAGTATTCCCTTGAAACTATTTCTATAAAATTATGCAATTATAGCAGTTGTAGAAATTTTTATATTCATGTTTTATTTTTTAGTTTTTGCAAGGAGGAAGCTTCTAAAGCCAAACCACTTTAGTGTGGCACTTTAACACGAACTAAACTTCCTACCATTCAAGTACAGCTCCCCGGTACTACCGTAAAGTATTCCGTTTAGCACTAAGCTCTTACTTCATTACAGTTCTACAAGTAACATCTCCTCACAACAGCTATGTACTAAAAGAAAATAACCCACCCTAGGCGGCCATTTCGCCTTTCGTGTCATGTTCACCGACATTTCTGCACATTTCACCTTCTTGTCATGGTTGTTCTTATACCATCTTCTCGTCTTAACTGCTGGTGTATCTGGGTTTTTGCAGTTCTTGCTACATCCCAAGCATGCTTCGACGTCAACTATATTTTCAGTTTGTAGCCAGTGATCGGACTTAAAAATTTGTGTGGTAGAATCTGGAAAATGTGGTAGATTCAAAAAAAAATGTGGTAGACCTCAGGTTTTTGATCAAACATTGTACAAAAATTAAAAAAGTTCTGGCAAGGTTTCACCTAAATTGCAAACATATTGATAGGAATCTAAAAATCAAGATATTTTTGGAACATATTTTGGGATTTGACGATTTTGACAAATTTGCTAATACTTTCACAAAAATCGTCGTTTTTTAACATTTTCGCTATCAATTCATTTTATAAATCATATATTTTGCAATTTAACACAATAAAACCTCGTTTCCTGTCCAAAAATTGATTATTGAGAAAATTTACTATTCAAAAGTTTATTTTATCCTCCCATTCGGATTTGTTGTTAGTGTTTAGTGTTGGACAATTTTTGCTCTTAAAATTAAGAAAACTATGTCGAACAAAAATAAAACAACTCAAAAACGCGAATATATGGTAGATTTCAGACCTTGTGTGGTAAATGTGGTAGATGCTCAAAAAACTGGCAGATCTACCACAATGTGGTAGAAGTCCGATCACGCAAAACGCGGACAAACGAAAACTACATGCTCAGTGTCTTCGCCTTCCTGCCACTCTGGGAATAGCGGGGAGTTATATATAGGGATATATATATATATATAGCGTTATATTAAAGTGTAATTCCCCATACCTTCCTTAAGGGAAGTTCCCCCCAGCGAAGTTGGCATTTTTGCAATGTTTGCGGCTACAGCTTCCGTTTTCTCCGGAGGAATGGATCAGCCAACACTCGTCATTCACTCAATGATCAGCTCTATTGCCGCGTTCGTTTTTTCCTCTAAATCTGGCAACAGTTTAGCCACCACCGTGAGCGTTACTTCGTCGGCGAACGCAATGATTTCAACTCCAAAAGACAAAGAACGCCATCGTACATGATGTTACATAATGTTGGCCCGAGCACTGGTCCCTGAGGCACCCCGCTGTCTCATTTTACTTTCATTTCTTCACATAGATGGAGTGTTCCAGGGTTCTACAACCGAGGAAGGGTGTTATAATATTACGTATATAACCCGGGACGGAAGGTCTTTGGAGAACATTTAAAATATGCCCAATTCTGCTGAGTTGAATGCATTTTTAGAATCCAGTGCCACGGCTACACAGTATTGTTTCTGCTCACCACTTCAACGCTTTCCGGAAACCACTTCGGCTGCTATCGATACTACTCTGTTTATTGGTACCGTTGACGAATTCCCCTAGGGAAAACCACATTGATTAGCTGATGGTCCCCTTTCGCCTTCGATGAAAGAGTGGAATCTGCTGTAGATTATGCATTGCCTTGTTTGGAATGCTATCCGAGCCTGGGGATTTGCTGTCCCCAAGCTTCTTAGCGGTTATCACGCCTTCGTCCGTTGGCACCTCAACTACTTCCCCAATGTTAACTGGTTTTCTTGTGAGAAGGGCCCAAACCATTTTACTCAGAAGAACTTGTTCCTTTCCTGAGGAATTTTGGAAATTATTGACATTGCCGCCTTGTAATCGCCACCCCATTAGCTCTCGTCCGCTTCATCGCATAGCTTCTTGAATGAGGCTCGTTGTTCCTTCGAATCCACTTTCAGCTGTTTTCACAGATGTTTGCATATTGCTTGCCTAATGTCGTCACCGGTAAGCCTCCGTAGTTTTTAGCATCGTCGTCTATCTTTTAAACATTTGGATTTTAGATCGCGTACTTATATTGTCGTTCCACCAATGTACTTGTTTTCAGCACGATTCGCCGCTTCTAGTTGAGATTTGTAGCTGCATCGTAGGCCCTAAGTTTAATGGCTGCTTCTGTTGCAGACTTCTTCTCTCTGGCCTGGTTAGGTGTCTCTGTCATGATCAAACAAAATAAATTTTTGTCAAGTGCCACTTGTTTTCAACCAAGGGGGTGTTGACTACTCCCTTTGAGTTTCGCGCCGCTTGGCTTGGTGGAAACTGTGTGTAATGTTCGCAGACCCTACATTTAGTGCACATAGTCAGTGGTTGCACGTGAACATAAGGTCGACGGTGGACTCTTTGCTGGTCCGGTGAAAAGTGCTGATTCCTCCATAATTAGCCAGCGCTAAGTCTAGCGCCTGGGCTTTGTCTTGGGGCTACCCCACGCCATCACTTCAATTACCATATCGAGCCCTAACCGCCAAAATAACGTAAGCGATATTTTTTTCAAAATTTTCTTTTTGATGCAGAAATATTCCTAGAGCATCTATGTAGATACATTTTTGCATCAAAAAGAAAATTTTGAAAAAAATGTCGCTTACGTTATTTTGGCGGTTAGGGCTCGATATACATACGCATTGGAATAGGCGCGTGCGTTCGTTTTTTTGGAGAGGATTTTCGCTTTTTTCGAAATATTTCGATAAGATTTTAAATGACACATACATATGTATTAGAGGTTTACGCCGACAGGCTTTGCGGTGACGGCGTGGTCAACGTCAAAAAGATTCGGCGGCGGCGGCGACGCCGGCGCGTCTGGAAACGCCGGCGCTACTTCTCATAAGGTAGATTTCAAAGAGCCATTTTTGCAATATTTAAATTTAAAGAAAAAAAAAATTGTTTAAAGTTTAGTTATTGGGGTAATTTATGCCGCTCTCAATAAATTTTTGCAATAGTCTTATCAACTCGAACCAGAATGGGACTTTTTGACCCACTGTTGAAAACAATGGCTTATAGATGGTTAAAACTTCCACTAAAATATGAAGCGCCAAATTTTTCTAAGGAGAACCGAATGTAATGAAAAATAATACTAATGTTTACCATAAAGAGGGAACTTTAACCCTGTGTAGAAAACATAGCGATGCGAGGGAGCAAAACCTTCCTGGGGTTTGACCACCACTAAGGAATGCTAACGTAATTTTCACACAGCCACCTAGTACTTGTATACGTATGTGGGACCCCAGAATAAAATAACTTACGAATGTAA